GGTTGGAATGAGATGATCTATAAGGTCCCTCTCAACTCAAACCATTCTATGAGTCTATATGGAATTATTAATTAATATATAATTACTATTTCCCAAGGAAAACAAAGCACAGGGAGAGAAAGTCAGATCTGGACTGTGTATGTGTAGCTTGGAACATGAGAAGCTGGTGATGCAGAGCCTGTTATCCAAAACTCAGAGCTCAACCAGCGCTTTAGTAGACTCTGCTTCAGAATTCCCCTTTTGCTGTTTATGCCATGGAGTAACTTGGCGGCTTTTCTTACAAGCAATTACAAGCCACAGTTTTTAAATCAGTTCTGCTTTTGGCTGACTCATTCAGACACACAGATGTAGGCAACCGAGACCCACGGCACTCCGAAACAATAATTTCAGTGATGGCAGCAGTGGTTGGAACTGCTGGGCAAACCACTGCTCCCAGGTCTCAGCTGTGGAGATGGGAGGTTGCTCGATGAGGTGGACACCCGTGGGACAGGACCATGCAATCTCCAGTTGGATGTCTCACCCAGATCATTAACAAAAACAATCTTAGCATAGCAAAATAGGTCATACACGATTTTCATCCCAAGGACAACTAAATTCTAGTTTGAAATGAAAAAAAGTCAAATATTGTAGGATTTATGTCATGAATTGTTAGCTATAGTCTAAAATTCATAGATTTAAACAAGCATTTGGACTGCTTTTCTTTAGTAAAAGGTCAGTATTTTAAAGGTCCATCCATAAACCTCTCTATTCTGCCATTGTTTCAGAATACAAAGCCAAACATCAGGAAATCTTCACGTTATAAAAGAGAATTTAAAATTCAAATGGCTGCAGAAGTCATGTAGTAGTTTGGGATGTATGTTCCGCTGACAGAAAAATAAACACTTTACAGCTTTTTAGTGGCAGGGGGGGGGGCTGGGGGGGTGGGGGGGGGTGAACAGAGTCTCAGAAAACGCTGCATTGTCAAGCCACATCTCACTTGTTTATTATGTGAATGCTGCTCTTGACTTTCATTGGACTAATTGTCCAAATACAGCAAGTAAGGATTGGTACCTACTAATCTCAAGATTTATCTAAAAAGTTCAAGATAGAATTTACGGTAGGGTTCTCAGAGCTTTAAATCTCCCCTCAATGAAAATCTTGCTACAAATTTCAAGTATGATAAAAGTGATATTATTTGTTACGCTATAAATATAGCACAGTGTAAGACACATGATGACACAGACGGCAGGTGCTACTCATTCGTTATCACGAGTTATTTCACTTCTGTGGCATCAAGTCACCACTGAGAGTTGTTTGTGCTGCCTGCCCCTCGGATGAGCTTTTCAAGACCCAGGGGATGCCTCCCCATCCCGCGAACGCCCTCTTCCCTGCTCGGCTGCCCGTGCCGCAGCGGGCATCGCTGGCAATCCGAGCTGCTCACCGCCACGCTGCCGTACTGCTGGCATGACTGCACGTTCAGCTGGATGGCTGCGTGATTTATGCTTGTACATGTATATAAGTATCTATATAGGTATAAATATATACCACAAGAAAAATGCTACAATGCATTCAGGCAGGAGAGCCATGTAGCAACTCTGCAATGGGCTGAGATTGCCCAGCTTGAACCATATTTACCTGTTTGCTTTGGGGAAAAATAACATTATATCCAAATGTATTTCTGCAAGGAAATCAAAATAATAAAAGATAAATTCTGCAAATATAAAAAGATGGTCCATATTTGGGTCTTAACAATTTTGACAATGTCCTTTTGAGTGTAAAGAAAATAAGAGACTACAAAACCCAAAGTTTGCCTTTCCGGGGTAAGCCATGGACCTGCAGTGACGATGAGACCATCCTCCTTACCCTCAAGCAGGCGGTGAAAGAGGCACTGCTTGACCTGCCGCCACGCTGCACAGTAAGCCCACACCTACTCTGAAGCAGTAATATTTGAATAAATCCATTTTTCTGCAGCTTAAAAACAACCTTCTGGAGTTTTAGGATTCCATTTATGTACATTAATGGAAAGGCATTTTCACATTTTCTCAACCATTCATTAAAGGGAATCACCTCAACAGCACACGGCAAATACCCTCTTCTGCACACAGGCCATAATACTGGCCCAGTATCGTCAGACCCGCTAACGTCAGTAAAGTATTCTTAAATACTTTATACTAAATATAACTTTTATACTGTTTATGAATACTAACCACTATGTAAATAGTAAAAGCACATATTTACATATTTAGTATACATAAAGTATAAATATACTCTTTTATACTAAGCATTAAATGCTTAACTAGTCTACAAGTACTCAACTCCGGAGTATCCGATATTTGCTTCATAATAATACAAATCCACAGAAAGTCTTAACGAGGCCAAAAGAACCATCCAAAGTCAGAGGAAAATAACGGCAATGTAAGAAAGAATAGAATTATCTTCGACATATTCACTTGGAAAACATAGACATTTGTTGTGCTTACTCGTCACAGTGCCCTCAAACCTAGAACGTGCTATCTATGCAGATTAATTCTACGGATTTATTTATTTAACGGTCCAAACCAGCACCTTAAGCACAGCCAGCCTGATGACCAGCTAACGCTACGCGCCGTTACTGGCCAAAGGTCGAAGGGAATGAAGTGTCTCTCAGGTGCTTCCGATGGCAGCAGCGTTCACTTGCTTTTCCTGCTGCTTTGGCAAAGGGTGAGGGAGTTGCTCATCGGGCACCTGGGGTTTTTGCCTGTTACTTCACAAGGTTTAAAACACACGGTAATAAAGGTCAAATAAAAGCACAATAACAGAAATACCTCCGGAGCTGGTAGCCTGGAAACCGTGACACCAGTGAAAAAATATCTGCTTCACACCAATGAAGATCAAGCTTTTACCCAATGTCTTTGAAATAACTACTTCTCCATACAGTCTTTTTTAACCATTTCAAAATGCACAAGAGTTACTCAGACCAAAATGGATGCTGTTCATGGGAAACAGGTATTTTAAGGAATCACAGCATTTGGTGAAGACTGGATACCTTAGGAATGACTCTCATAAATTATCGGTGTAGTTAGCCACAGAGAGGAAAATAATTATATTTCTCTTTGCACTTATTTGTAACAGGCGTTAGCTTCCCAACATTACATATAGATAAGTAAACTTTAGAACTTACTTATTTCTCTTAGTTTTGATGCTAAGATCATCATTTTCATCCCCTGGACAAGAACTAACACATCTATCTGCTAAAAAGAAATAAATAGTTATTAGATTTGAACTAGATAAATGGGAAAACAAATTCCTCAGATTAACCTTTCATTTGTTCTCTTTGGCCGCTGCTCAGGTATTTGCTATTTTTCACCCTCCACAGAGAGTTTTAAAACTAACACACAATTCATCAGACCCTCAGCAATGCCTTCATCCAAATGAGAGACAGCAATAAACCCCACCAATTCCACTCTGAAAAACTGCTCGTTGTCCATGTTGTGAGCTAAATTGTTCATCGTTCATTCGTGACATGATTTTCTTTAACTCTGGTTCCTGTTTCACCCGATACTCCCTCCTCCCTTCCCTTAAAAACACAACTACAAAGACATTTCTGCAAACTTGTTTCAGTCCTGGCAGCCTGAAGGACTTCGCAGTGTCATCTCGCTCCAGATCTTCCTTCCTTAGCCCATTTCTTTCTTATACAAGCAAATATAATGCTGCTTTTCCAGAAATCCACCCACCAGTACAGCAAGGCGATGGAGAGCCCAGGGAACAACCCAGTGCCAGGTTTGTGTCGGCGACTCTCCAGCAGTTCACCACAAATCAGTTGAGAAATGTAACACTCGAACTGTATGGCTGGCTTGGGAATCTCAGAAACACCAAACCTCACCCTTTTTGCAGTAGACTGGTAACGAAGACATGGCTTGCTATTTAGAAAACTATGAAAAAATAAATTAAAAATAAATATAAAATTGAACTTAGGTTATGGAAATAAAGGGTTTGAATAACTTGATATGGTGAGGTCTGATCTCGATGAAATCAGATGAAGCTCCAAGAGATCCGCTAGAAAATGCCCAAACACAAATAGAGATGAGTGGGTATTTTGAGGTTCATCAACTAATTTCAAGGGGCTGTTACTCACCCAGGTCCAATCTTAGTATCATTGAAGCTAACGGAAATCTGGCCATTTATTTCAAGTTTCAATTTTTGCATGTTGTTCTTTGCAGATGAACACAGCATACACTAAGTCACTGCGAAAGGAACGGTAAAAACCCGACAGCAGCTGAGACGCTGCAGCGTGGGAAGCCCAGGAACAGAGACCTCACGAGCGGGTGCAAATGGACACTTTACTAACTACAACTTAAAGTGACAATATGGAGAAATGAATGGCATTCCACAACAAAGAGAGGTTGATCTCCACGTTCCTGACAATATACGAGCATTATGAAGACACAAATGAATTTAATAATGCTTTAAATATACATAAATTCACTGGAACCATTACCTCTTCTTCCTGAATTCTTCTTTGGCATACTCAGTTAAAATTAGAAATTAATAGGAAAAACAACCTGTAAACTCAGAAGGTGGAATGTAATTCAACAGAGATATTAAAAAGCTATTAATGAGGAGGTGAACAACCTGCGGAGGCAGAGGTGGTCCTCACTTTAACGAATTCTGAAGGTAATAATACGAAATGACAGAATACTGGATGGTGTTTTCCAAGAGAGGTGAAGTTCAAGGTGACCGGGCAAGCACGATCCTGTCCTACCGAATCTCACCAATATTAAAGCAGAGCAAAGGAAAAGCCGTGCCTGCGGGGCACCTCCTGCGCTGGCCAGACGCCATGGACAGCCCCTCCAGAGCCGGCTGAAGCACGCGCGCTGTGCTACGTGCTCGGACATTACGAATCCCGATGGGACGGTCTTTGGGTAAAGCAAGCCCGTGGTGACCGGTCTGGCCACGCAGTGAGCCTCTCCCGTTCACCACCTCCACAGGGCCGGAGCAGACTCACGCGTGATGAGAAGCGATCGCGCAAAGTTCTCCAGCTACTTGGAATCACAGAATCACAGAATCACAGAATAGTAGGGGTTGGAAGGGACCTCTGTGGGTCATCTAGTCCAACCCTCCTGCCAAAGCAGGGTCACCTACAGCAAGCTGCACAGGACCTTGTACAGACGGGTCTTGAATATCTCCAGAGAAGGAGATTCCACAACCTCCCTGGGCAGCCTGTTCCAGTGCTCCGTCACCCTCAGAGGGAAGAAGTTC